GAAAATTTATCATTTTGCTAGAACCAAACTTAGCAAAACTTTCATCATCTTAAGAAACAAAAGATCTCTTTCTGCAAGCACGTAAAAAAATATTCCCTTTCTCTCTCTGTATTGAAAACCCCCTTTTGCTCTTTCTCTTCTCTATTTTCTTGTAGTTTAGGGATGTCAAACCCTACCTCAATAAGACCTTCTTACATGAGTTGGAGACAAAATTAATTTATAAGATTTTACATGATCTCTTTAAGTCGACAAAAGATCTAATAGCTGATAAAATATTTTTTTTAGAAAATCATGTCCAATATTTACAATAAATTAATCATATTTTATAAATGAGAGAAATTTTTAACTCCATATTTTTAATCATAAGAGCATGAATATTGTGAAAGTTTGAGAAGGTTGTTAAACCACACATAACTATCCCGAGACGCATTGGTAATTTTAAAAAATTCCTACGCAGGAATATTATTTTTTGCTTTAGCCGCAAAACAACTTAAAAACATGATTCAAATAGATTACTCAAAATAACATGCGAAAGCAATTTATATAAAAGTTTACATTTTTTATTTTTTATTTTCTTACGCATGCAATTATTCTTATAGCAAAAAAAATTAAACTTTGTATAATTGATTGATAAGATTGAAACCAATAAACTCAAGTTGCAAAGAAAGAAGATCGCAAGAAAGTAAAGATGTAGAAAATGGAAAAAACACACTATAAATTTTATAGTGGTTCGGTCAACCTTGAGCTGCGTCCACTCCCTGGAGTCCTCCACTCTGGGTATTGCACTAATACAAAGTGACTCTTCTTTTGCTCTCACAGTAAGGCGGAGAAACCCTTACAAACTCACATTCACCAAACCTGATGCGGAGAACTGCCGAAAGCTATGTCACCTTCTCGGGTGATGGCATCGGACCTTGAATAATTTTTCTCCCATCTAGAGAGAGCAGATAACCCAAAGCCTTTTCTCTCTTGAAGAAGGCAGCGTACCTCCAATCTTTTTCTCTCTCCTGGAGAAGGTAGAGAACCCAAAGCTTTTTTTCCCTCTTGGAGAAGGCAGCATACCTTCAATCTTTTTCTCTCCTAGAGAAGGTAGAGTACCACGATGACTTTACTTCTAAGCCTCTCTCCCAAGAAAGCCTTCAAGGACTCACCGAGGTCATAGGAGGAGCAAGGGTGTAGCTAGCTCGGAGCAATCATGTGATCCCCTCACACTTCTCCCTCACGCTCAACCTCACCTTCTACTTCCTCTCAAGCCCTGATTTTCTCTCAAAAGAACCTTTCAGAGTTCCTTCAGAAGTCACACAATCCTCTCTTATTTCGAAGAGATTCTAAAAACATTGTTAAGTATTAGGATTCAAGAAACTCTAAAAATCCAAGTTGGTCGTCACTATTTGTATCATACGATTAGAATTCATACAGTACGATTAGCTCAAACATTAGACCCGTCAAGTACGATGCAAATAATTGTTTAGTCGAACTATTCAACTTTCCAAAACATATCATATAATACGATCTGTTTGTTGTATCTCTATTTGTATAGGACGATTGAAAATCGTCTATATCAATCATCTTGTAATACTCTCATCATACAATACAGTTAGTTGATTTCAAGTCGGTCATCCAGTATGATTAATTAAGAAATCATGGTTTCGTTTGGTACGATCTTTGAGATGATCAAATTTTGTCTCTGCCAATCATACGGTACGATGAATATTGTATAATATGATATGTTATTATTAATTAAATTATGATTTGTTTGATTAATTACGGGGGATAATTTAAGTCAGATTTCAAATTTTCATACAGTAAGAACTACATTGTACAATACGATTAGTTCAAAACACAATTTTCGAATATCTTAATTTATCTGGCTGCTAGGATTTTCAAATCGTAATGAATCGTACAATATGATTAGTTCATAGAAACTAATTATTCAAGTAGTCGTTAAGCCCATTGTCTCTATAACTGATCATACATTACGATTGTAGGTCGTACAATATGATTAATACAAAAAAAATAACTTTTAATTTTTCTCACTCCCCCTGTGTATTTGTGCACGGTCACCCAATTGCATACATTCTTATGTGGCTAGACTCAAAAAGTAGAAAATAAAATAAATAAAAGTACAGACTCTTTTACTTGACATCCTATTCTAGCCAGTCTTGAGCTTCCAGTAGCATTGAGCAGTATATATTTTATCTGTAATATTAGTGCTCACAAACAAAAGGAATATCCAAAACATTTATTAAAAAAATAACAGTTCAATCAATAATGTTTGGTATCATCAAAATCACAGACTGGGGATATTGGATTGTAGCAATATCTCCCTTTTTGATGATGGCAAACAATGTTGGTTGAGAGGTAAAATAAAATTCCTCCTAAGCTCCCTCTCACTATGTGATAGATTTAAGAAATAAGGGTTGCATTTTTTTTAAATATAGAGAAGTAAAATAGTAGAAAATAAAAAAACACATGATTCTATTAAAATAAAACATACAACCAAATGTATATTTTTCCCCTTTTTAACATCACCAAAAAGAGGAGCATAAAAAAAAGTGAACATTACAAGACATTAAAATAATAAAACACAACAAACAAGCACTAAAAATAAGACGGATCCTAATCAGGTTGTGGTAGTGGTTGTTGAAAGTATTTATGGATGGAGGTGAATTGATCTTCAATTTGAGAAAACTTTTCTCCAAACCATCTCATTTCTTCCCTGTGATGTTGTTATTGTTGTTGAATGTGATAGTCCAGCCGGGTTTCTAATCGCTTAAGCTTTTGAATTATTTTGTCGTGAGGGTAGGTAGGGTAGGAAGGTGCAGGTGATAGTATTGGTGGTGGTGCAGGTCCACATGCAGGAACAACTTCCCCTTCTTCATTAAAATCTGGCTCGTTGTGCTCTTGCCCTCGATGGAAAAGAATACGGAAGGAATCATCCGTATAGAAAATCGGAAGATTATCGGGAGAAGCAATATAGTTGATTTGGTATTTTGTATCTAAGACATAGCCTATGACGTGTCCTAGTGTGACATTTTGCTTTCTTCCGGTATTGGGATTTCGAATTGGAGTCATGCTTTGGATATAATCAATAATCATTTGAGCTTCATCAAATTTAATATTGGACATTATGAAATAGGTGACTGGGAAAGAAGTGGAGTGATGTTGACATGATCATTAGCTTTGGATATAATTGAAGTTCGAAAAACATGTTGGATAATTAAGACATTTTGATTTAGAGAGTGGACTAAGGTTTGATGTTGATTTAAAGCCACATTTCTAATGGCTAGGTTTACAACACTAGTCAAAATCAGTTCTAGTGGCCATCGATTGCAGACGAGGTCCTTCAGTAAAAAGTCTGTTATACTCCATCTAAATCCTCCTTATTGATTTATAGGGGTTGTCGACATACATAGTAGGTAATGGTGTAGGTTTCCACATTGATCCTAAGGTGGCTAGGAATTCATAGAACATTTCAGAATTAAATGGAAATGCTAGGGTGAGTAGGAATTGGAGAGTTGTAGAAGCAAAGAGGTTCATCACCTCGAAGTTTAGAGCAGGTTGATTGAGCATTCTGGAAGGGGTGATTCGAGCCTCCTTGAATTTATTGTACGCATCTTCATCTCTAGCGGACAGAAATTGATCGTCGAAGCGACAAGAGGAGGAGCTCCCTTGAGTCATTCAACCGCGTTTACATCCATCAGCCATTGGAGAATCCTAAGGTATGAATGTTGTGAAAGAAAGATTTATCGTACCGTACGATTGATAGAGACGATTGAGAGCAGTACGGGACGATTGACAGAGATGATTTCCAATCGTCCCAAGAATCATCCTATACGAATAGAGAGAAAACAAACAAATCGTACCAGACGATCTTTGGATCGTACTATACGATGTGTTCGAAAAGTTAAACAATTCGTTTGAACGACTGTTTGCATCGTACTGGACGGGTCTAGTTTTTGAACTGATCATACTATACAAATTCCAATCGTACTATATGAAGTGATGACCAACTTGAATTTTTAGTATTTCTTGAAGCTTAATACTTAAGCAATGTTTTTAGAATCTCTTGGAAACAAGAGAGGATTGTGTGATTGTTGAAGGAATTATGAGAGGTGCTTTTGAGAGAAAATTAGGGTTTGAGAGGAAGGAGAATGTCAGGTTGAGCATGAGGGAGAAGAAGTGTGATGGGATCACATAGTTACTTTGGGCTTGCTACACCCTTGCGTCTCCTATGGCCTTGGTGAGTCTTTGAAGGCTCTCTTAGGAGAGAGGCTTCGAAGTCAAGTCCAAATTTATATTGAAAATTAGATCAAGCTTGTGAGACTTGTGAGAATGCTTTAAATTAAAGTAATTGAAATGTTAAAGTTAACGATGTCTTATGGATATTTTATCTAAGAAAACCTAAAATTCATATTTTTGAACTTGGAATTAAACAAATCTTGAAATTTTGTTATTTTGCATACAATTTAATATTCTGATTATCGTTTTATACTATTCAGAAGCACTACTCATAATTGAAATATGTTTATTGAGTGTGTTAGATTTTCTTATTTAGCGCCTCATTTCATTGAGGCGCCCATTGTGTTGCCTCACCTGCATAAGCAGTAGAAACCTAAGCTCTACAACAGCAATCATCGTAACCTCTAACAAGCATGCAATTATAGCAAACATAATGCCGGTACACAATCAATTAACCTTCCAAACCCTCTCTTTCCCACCTGACTCTTTTTTACTAGAGAATATAAGAGAACCTTCACATGTGAAAATGCAAGCGTCTGATTTGATCAATCAAAAGACAGTTCCTAGGCCAAATATCTTTTACCTAAGTAGGCACATTGGGCATTGTAATCGCCTTGAGGGCATCTAGCACTTCTGACAAAACTGATTTTTGTAAGCAAAGTGAATAAATTTTTCTAATGAAAAAATTTAAGAATACAGTAATTGTGCACTATTGTATGTGGCGATGATGATAAAAAACATATTAATTCCTTAATCAGGTTGTTGGTACTCCAAATTACATGTGCCCCGAGCTTCTTGCTGATATTCCCTATGGATTCAAATCGGATATCTGGTCCCTGGGTAGGTGCATGCATGTTTGGATGAATTATCTACTGATATCATGTAACTTATATTTTTTGTGTGATGAGGCAGGTTGCTGTATGTACGAGATGGCTGCTCATAGACCTGCATTTAAAGCTTTTGTAAGTATCCATCATTTCCATCCATATGCAGCATAAATAATAGTCAAAGGAGTTACATCTAAAGCTTTTAATTATCTATTTTATTGCCATTATAAGATGGCCATGCCTTTGTAAATGTATTGTTCATTTCCCGAGCATGCTGCATCATGTGATTTGACATAGTAGTCATGATCATTGCAAGTAATGAATATTTTTTATTTTCATATATGCTAATGAAATTTTTGCAGGAAAAATGCGTGCCTTGTTAGATTTTTATATTGAGGAATATATTATAGTATGTGGCAATTAATGATATTTTTTAAATGCGTGCCTTGTTAGATTTTTATATTGAGGAAATATATTATAGTATGTGGCAATTAATGATATTTTTTTTTAATGATCTATGCTGTTAATATCTTGTAATAAATCTTTCTTTTATTGGAATAGATAAACTGTTGCAATAATGGTTATGTTCTGCTGTAGTTATATGGGCTATATGTTTCAGAAAGGAAAAAAGTAATAGCAGATTATGTATAACCAGCCAATGATTTTAAGATTTTTGTTAGGATTTATGTTGATTTATTGGGATTATTTATTTATTTATTAGCATGAGTTTTCCTTTTCGATAATGATTTTATTAGCATGAGTTTTCCGTGGTGATTTTGGTTTGTGATAATCGTTCTTTTGGTTTTAAAGAATTTTTTAAAATACCAAATCACCCCCCCTTGGTTAGCCTCGAGACTAGTTCATAGGGCTTAACATCCCTAACGAACTTTCAAGTGGTATCAGAGCACTTTTTAGTGTCATCTGAGCACTTTCAAGTAGTATCAGAGCGGGATTCATAAAAACTAAGTTTGAAAACTTTTTGAATTTTGATCCATGGTTAACTTTGGGAATCGTAATATAACTGAAGGATATTCTATTACACGACCTCCCTTGTTTGACAACCTTCCTTTTGATTTTTGGAAAACTCGCATGACTACTTTTTTGCAATCAACTGACTATCGCATGTGGATGCTTATTAAAGAAGGATATTCTCCACCCACTCATGAAGTTAACAGAATTAAAACTAAAGTCGCTTTTACTGAATGGACTACCGATGAAAGAGATTTAGCTCAATTGAATGCGAATTGTTTGAACTGTTTTTTCTGTGCTTTAAAGTCTGAAGATTACATGCGTGTTTCTACTTGCTCTACTGGAAAAGAAATTTTGGATAAGTTATGCATTACTTATGAAGGAACAAATGAAGTGAAACAATATCATTTGAATATTCTCTTGCATGACTACGAAATTTTTCATATGAAATCTTCTGAATTGATTTCTGATATGTATACAAGGTTTACTCAAATTGTAACTTCTTTGCATGCCTTAGGAAGAGAACTTTCAAATTATGAAAAAGTAAAAAAGATCTTAAGATGCTTGTCTTCCTCTTTTGATGCTAAAATCATTGCTATAACTAAATCTAAGGATTTAAACGCCTATTCGATTGATAACTTACTTGGCTCACTCATTGCTTACGAGCAAGGAGTGAATCAAAGAAATCTTGATGCATGTGAGAAAAAAGAAGGAGAAAACAGTGGCACTGAAGGCCAACCACAGGAATTCTGATTCTTCCGGGTCTGAGAGAGATGACATTGCCTTGATCATAAGGCAATTCAAAAGCTTTCTAAGAAAGAAACACAATCATCATCAATGTTGGAGAAAAGGTAAGAATAATAAATATTCTAAAATATCTTCTGATGTTGTTTGCTTTGAATGCTGGAAGCCTGGACATGTCAGAGCGGATTGTCCTACACTTCAAGATCACACAAGCAAAGAAAAGGGTGAGGAAAAACCCAAGCTCAGGAAGGACAAAAAGAGACTTCAAAAGGCGTTTTGGGCGGATTCTGCAACTGATTCATCGGAGATAACCTGAAGACGAAATAACAAACTTGTGCTTAATGGCGGAAGATCATATTGATCAAAGTGATGAAGAAGAGATATGTAAACCAACTTATTATCAATTGTTCGAAATTTGTGAGAAAATTCATGCATCATACAAAAAACTTAAGAAAACTCATGCTAGTTTTAACTTGGAACTTTTAAATTTACAAAAAGAGCATGGAATTATTATCAAAGATCATTCTACAATTGATTCAAATCACATGGCTCTACTTGATGAATTTATATGATTTAAACAAAAAATATTCGGAATTAATTAATGAGCATGATGCATTAAAAGTTTCACACACCTCACTCAAATCTGATTTGAAGAAATCTAAAGAAATAGAGCGCAACTTGAGGATTTATAATAATGCTTTAGAAGATACTAACTTGAGGCTTAAAGATGAATTGGACTCAATTAAGAGAAATTGGATGATACCCACTTTTGATCTAAAGCCAAAAACTAGGAAGAGGCATTATAACACTAATCTTTTAAGAAATCCTTTTCCTGGAGTTAGATGTTTTTCGTGTGGCATGCTAGGACACATCTCACACACTTGCACTGTTCACCGTAGTACACATTGGGTGTGGAGATCAAAATTGCATGATTCACAGCAATTTTGGGTTCTTAAGTCTGACAGTTATTGATTCTTGCAGGATTGCTCTCACCAAAAACCTCGTGAGTGCATAGGATACTTGGACAAACGGAGGCTCACAGCTCATAACTGCTTAAACTTGCTGCTTAACAAATTCTTGAATTGGATTTTGATTATTGTTATGTTTTGTTTTTGTGATAGTTTTTTTGTTATTCTAGTCGTTTTTTTATTTTTATTTTCTTTATGATGATTTTTCCTTGTTCTTAAATTTTGGAGATTTATGGCCAATGATTAGCATTTCTAAATCGGTTAAAGGGGGAAAACACCGTTGATGGTTTCCCTCCCTCTAACATCTTTTGGTGATATAGTTTTCTTTTCTAAACAAAAAGGCTATCTTATTTTAACAAATGATTTTTGAAATTAAGATCCTTTTTATCTTGCTACAATAGTCTATCTTATATATATGATCCAAAGTTCTTATATATCTTTCAAGTTAATTGAAATTTTGCCGTTGCACTTATCATATGATTTTGATTTTCGTTTTGTAGTTTATTCTTCCCTATGTTAGAGAGAGCTCATCTTCTCTAATATCTAGAAGATATAATCACAACTAAGAATCTTTTTAAGAGTTTGTTAAAGAGTTTTTAACTTGCAAAAATAAGAAAAAAATGGTCAATGACGCCAAATTGAAAAGAAAAGTATATACACGAAAGTGTATCGAAAATCAAAGATGCTCAAAGAGCCAATCAAAGTGACAAGAGGCATAAAATGAGCACACTAAATGCAAGTTATCCTCTCTTTTCAAAATTTTTAAAACTTAGAAGGATTCATGGGGTATTTGATGTTTTCAAATGCTTGATTTCAAATTCCATGATAGAGATAAATTACTTTGGTATATTATTTTATAAGATATTTTATTTAAAACTAAGTTTTGAACAGATCTTCTTTTTATCCAATTTATTTTGAGTTAGACCTTTTGTTTTCAAAAGATAATTTTTATCCTGAAAGAAGTCCGAGCTAGGGTAAACAGGATCGGATTTTCTACCGTTTTCAGATTGTGACATTGTTAACTCATTGATCTTTCAAATCTTTAAAATTTAATTATTTGGGAAATTCGTCATATGCTTGCTTTACTAAAAACAAAAAAAAATAGAAAAATTAAAAACAAAAATTTTTTTTTCTTGTTTTTATTTGTTTTTGTTGTATTTATTTTTATTTAGGGTTCTCTCTGATCATCTCCATCTTTCCTTGATTTTTAAATTCTTGTCACATCGTCCTGGCCGATACCTCTATCGTCCTGGATGATATGATAATTTATCTTCAAAATTCCATATGCTGAACTTTTTTGAGCCTTCTGTAACTCATCGTCCCGGACGATACATTATCGTCCTGGTCGATCTGATCGAACTCTATTACAATCATCTTGATTGTCTTGGCCGATACAATTTTCGTCATGGCCGATGCTTTTATGGTCATCGTCCTGGCCGATACACTAGATCGTCTCGGACGATCCACGTGTCAGTACGTTTAAATCCTTAAAACCGGCTCCGGACGATACATTATTGGACAATCGTCCTGGCCGATCCACTGTTCGTCTTGGACGATACACGTGGAACAGATTTAAAACGTTTTAACTTCGGCCGGTACGATCAATTATTGTGCATCGTCCTGGACGATACACCTAATCGGCCTGGACGATCTTCTTTTTCAACGGTCGTCCGGCTTGACTCATCGGGACGATCGCCTGTGTCTAATCGTCCTGGCTGATATCTGATCGGCCCGGCCGATCGGACCGCCTTTTTGACCAATCAACATGTACACAATAATTGAACCAAATCTTCTTGGACAATTCTGCGATCGTCCTGGACGATATGGTCGTTTCTTTAAATATAGGCCATTCCAGCCATTTTTTCCCCTCAAATCTTCTTCTTATCTCATTTTTACTTACTGATTTCTTGCTATGGCTGGTGGGAAGCAAATCCAACAGGCTTCTGGAAGTTCCTCGAGGGCCACTCTGGACCCTTGATTCAGGGAAGTGGAGGATCAAGCAGCTTACCGTCGCTACAAAGAATGTGGCATCACCTTTTTTAGAACCATCAATCCTGTTCACCTTTTATATCCGGTAATGGATCTATTTGCTCACACTTCTCTCTATTTCATTCTTACCCTCGCTGTCCCTTTTCTCTCAGAACTTTTGTTAGAATTTTATTCAAATCTTCGTATAAATTCTACTTTCACAGCCCTGACCTCCTATGTGAATCGACGCCCGATCGAGATCACATACCAGGACTGTGCTGAACTATTGCAGCTATCCACCACCGGGGATAAGCTACATATAATTGTCTCAGATCTTGATTTTGACTGGTCCATAGCAAATTATTTTCTTCACCAAACCAACACACCCTTTCATGTTGGAGAGACTAGCTCTTTAGTCAAAGATGCTAGGACAATTCAGCATGTCCTTCGCACCTCCATTATTCCAAAAGTTGGGGACCGAGTTCA